ATCATCTAGCTGAACTGGTCAGGAACGCAGCTCGCTTGCATTGGGCATGTGGATTTGTTAATTAAGCATTTTCATGAATAGTATTTTAAAGTTTGCAGAATTTTTCTAATTGGGAATTCATATTCTGTGTAGATAATGCCTTCACTTGTATAAACCATCAAGACAGATTAATTTGTTGTTCGCTTATTTTAATTAAACGATGTTATGAAGATACTGCCGTGCAGTGCAGTTTCTTTCCTGCTCTCAGTAATGCAAACGTGAGAATAAATGTGTCAAAAAATACATACATATTAACTGTCACTTTAACGTGATCAGTTGATTTGTTTGTTGTTGTTGTTTTTTCTTCATCTGAACACATTTAACTGTCATAACTGCAATATTTACACTCCTTAAAATGTATAGCATGTGTCTCTATGCTGCTTTTCGCTGTACTTTGTGACAAAAAAAAAAAAAAAAAAGATTATCGAATGTTGTTCTGTGTCCATGATGGAACTTGCAGGCATAGACTTGTTCCTCACGGGTCCGTGTACATTTTGTTCATTTGTTTTCCATTTTCAAACGGAATAAAGGAAATGGAGAAAACGGCCGTTTTTTCCGTTTTTCTTTTGCTCACGAGAAAACGAAAAAACGAGATTTTGGCTGGATTTTCGTTTTTTGGTTTAGGGTAGGAAAACGGATAAACGACTTTAAAATTCATTTTACACATGTAGGCGGTGCTGAAACGCTCACTTTCCTCTAATTGGTCAACCAAATCTGCGCTCGTGACGTCACCCTCAAAATAAAAGCCTTACACGCAGGCTTTTAATTATTATTATTTAATTATATATATAAACAAAGTTTACATATTCTATCATTTGAACCACACACAGTTAGCAGGCTTACATTCATTGCGTATGTATAAATTAAATAAAAACGTAAAGCAGTATTCTTAGACATTTGTCATTAAAATAAGGTCATAGTTCACTGCCAAGCTTCTTGCTGCTGTGCACCTGATGCAGAGCAAAGATAGCCATTTCCGAGGAGCACCTGGTTTACATGATTGTTTCAGAGCAAGGGCTTTATAATAATAATAATAATAATTATTATTATTATTATTATTATTATCAGTTACTAGTGTTTTTATTGTTTGGTGTTTTTTTTCTTTTCTTTTTAATAGTTGTTAGCAGAACCAGAATAAGAACACTTTGGGCCCTGCTATAAAAACAAAGGGTACCATTTGTTTTCATTTATTTCTTCCTATTTTAATTATATATTGTAATTATTTATTTGATAATTAATACTATTTTATTGCAACGCCAAAGTAGGCCTGTCTTATTATTTTTTTAATTAAATTTGCTTTTATTGTAGGCTAGATGGCAGGCTTTAAATATTTTAAATAACATTTACTCATAACCTTACTAATTCGAGAGCCGAACCTAAAAATGTTTAAGTGCAATAAGCCTGTACAATAAAGGGAGCCGCAATGCATATTTCTAGCGCATTCTTTCACTCAACAATTATTGCTGGAATAATGAAATAAATTTCAAATTAACTAATTAAACACATTATAGTTGATAAAAAATTGTGTCTAGTAGTTCCGACAAACAGATGAGCTCGCTACATGTGCGTTGCGCTAATAATTTGACATTTGCTCTTCTTGAGAAAGTGCTACAGCGGGCCCTGCTATTTCACATATAAGGTTAGTGATAAGTATTTTAAATTAGTATTGCACATTATTCATTCATTTTCTTGTCGGCTTAGTCCCTTTATTAATCTGGGGTCGCCACAGCGGAATGAACCGCCATCTTATTTAGCAAGTTTTTACGCAGCGGATGCCCTTTCAGCCACAACCCATCTCTGGGAAACATCCACACATACACACACACTTATACAGTACGGACAATTTAGCCTAGCCAATTCACCTGTATCACATGTCTTTGGACTGTGGGGAAAACCGGAGCACCCGGAGGAAACCCACGTGAACGCACCACACTACTGAATTAGACACACAATCTCAAAAAAAAAAACTTGATGCTTATTTACATTATCTAAAGTCATTTCTTACGAGGTAGGATCTGTTGTTGTATTATATATTTTCGTTTTAATATGCAAATAATTTTCTTTAATTTGTAATAGGCCTATTGTCCCTCATTGCATAAAATAACCAGCCTTTGTATTCAATATGTTTGTAAATTGTCCATCCAGTTTGACGCAAGCTAAACAACATTTAGCTAAACAACATTTTGGCCTGTTTTGCTTATTAAATGAGTGATTTTCACGGAGAAACAAATCATCCATCCACACAGTTTTGTATAGGACCTGTGTGAACAAAAATATACACTTCATCATAGCCTATAGGAAAATGTATCTGTTTAGAACCAATTTTGTGTTGTATAATTAAAAATATTAAAAATACAATAAAAAAAGGAATAACATTTGAAGTGCAATGCTTCAAAGATCCAATATGCTGCATGCAGAGCCAAAACAAAAACTGGTTTGTTTGTTTAATAAAATAATAATATGAAATTAAAGTGAAATAGTTCCATAACCTGTATTATAACTGTAGTCACTCTAGATGACAAATCATCCGTTGCGCCGGTCAGTTTCACCTTTAATCAAGAATGTGCCAGAACCAAATGAGAATATTTACAGATTACCTCGGAATGAGACCTCGGTCTGTGAAGGATGCAGAACACACAAACTCGTTAAGAATGGAGATGCATGTTAGATGTTTTATATCCCTTTAGATATTGTAAATAAACAACAAGTTTTTATAGAGATTGTGTCATGTCTTTTCTTTGACGCACGCGGTGAACAGCCCCGAAAAGGCGCCTTTATTTAGCCTGTAGCCTAAATAATAGTTTAGATTTTATAACATATAATGTTCCATTACTTTAAATGTATAATGTTTTTTAATATTTATGGATTATATAAAATATATAGTTTATATAAATGCGCTCTGATCATTCAAGGATCATAATGCGTTGCATATTCTTCTTATTCTTCATTGATCCGTAAATTGTGTATTTTATAAACTGATCGTTTATAAGGACTAAGCAGTGGCGCCCCCAGAAAATTTTCTTAGGGGTGGCCAGAAGAGGCCGCACCAAATCTAGGGGTGGCAAACAAAAAAAAATTATGAATTCAGTGTAATGTTATATTTTTGTTTTGGGTAAATGTAATAATGTAGCTTTTATTCATTTAATTAATTCTTCTTGAAATGTTGCTATTTATACCTTGAAGTAATTCAGGAAGTACATGTGCAAACCAAATAAAAATCTGTTAACTTTTTTACATGCTTTTATTGTACATCATACGGTATATTCTAAAGAATACAAAAAAATGTATTATAGAATTATCTGTGGTCTTAGACCAGATCATGGCTAAAAAATCATGTTATGAAGTCTTACCTCCCTGACTCCTTATCCCTCCTTTCTGCTTTAAAGGCATGCTTAGTGAAAGTAACATCATCATCATATTATATAAACTTTAGTCGACTTTCTCCTCTGCACAAAAGGCTGTTACTCCGTTTCACGGCGTATGAGGGGCGCGTATTTTGTCGGCGTGCATGCAAACAACCAACCGGGATTCACACAGGAGTGCGTGAGGCGCGCGGGAATGGTTTTCTGCGCGCATGCGTTAGTTTGCTTTCACCAGCATTCAGCATTGAACCACCACTAAGGGGGAGAGACAATGAATCAGCTACGTCAGTAACACCAACAATAATTTAGTGGCTGCATTTTATTTATTTAAACATTGGGGATTTATAAGTACATTTAAATCAATAATGTCAACAGCAAAGTTATATTGAGGTGGCCAAAGAGGTGGCCACAGGGGTGGCCAGAGTTTACCGAGGGGTGGCCGTGGCCACCCCTTGGGGGCGCCCCTGCAGTACACTATTTGTTGTGTTAGTATATGATACTGTAATATAAAACAACATATTGTCTAACAGTAAAACCTTCTCTGTGCTTCCATTTGGCTAAACAGACTCATAGTAAATCATAGTAAACCCAGTATATGGCACTACTGGTTTGTTAAAGAGATTCCTTCACCCTATAATGAATATCCTGTCATCTTTTACTCAGCCCTTACTATGAGTTTCTTCTGTTATACACAAAAGAAGATGTTTTGGAAAATGCTGGAAACCTGTAACTATTGACTTCCATTGTATTTGTTCTCCTACTGTGGACATCAATGGTTACAGATTTTCAGATTTGTATCTTCTTCAGTGTTCAACAGAGGAAAGAACCTCATCGGTTTAGAAGCATGTGAGTGAATAGTTGAGGGAGAACTCTCTCTTTAATTGAGTCATTTAGAAAACTCACAGAAATGATGATCAGAGCTTCAGTTTGATTCACAGGATTTTATTTGACTTATTAGCCAACAATACATAAAAGCAGTTCATCACAAAACAATTCAAAGAACATTTCATTACAAAACAATCATGAACACTTAATTATAAAACAATCAGTCTCTCTTATGACAGAACACCAGATTCATTAATGAGGGAGAAAATAGTCGAGCAGATCTTTGATGACACTTTAGAGGAGAAAACTGTGACAGCACTGGAGTTCAAGTTCAGTTCACTGAAGAGCAAATCCATCGATGCGCAGCTCCACAAGTCCCAACCAAGCAAGACAGTGGCGAGGAAGAAAACTTCACTAATTGACAAAAGTGAAGGAAAAAACCTCGAGAGAAACCAGGCTCGGTTGGGCACGACCATTTCTCCTGTGGCCAAAGGTCTTGTGCAGAGCTGCAGTATTTAATCACCATTATTGTCATTAATTGCTCACCTCATGTCCTTAGATCAAATTCATGTTTAGTTCATATTGAGAACACAAATTAAAACATTTGAGATGAAATCTGAGAGCTCTCTGACCCTCAAACCGCACGTCCAGAAGAGCGCAGTGCACTGTATGTGTGTCACACTGCTGACGTTTAACCCAGAGGCCTGCGCGACTTCCTCTCATTTAAACAAAGCGTGGGCACATCTGAGGTAAACGTCAGCAGTGGACACACACACAGTGCAGGACAGAGCTCTCATGGTTTGATGATTTGATTTCATCTCAAATGTTTTCATTTGTTTTCTGAAGATGAGGAAAGGTGTCAGGGGTTTGGAGCATTAAACTTCTTTAATGCAGAAAGAAAAACACAAAAATATTAAAACAAAAATAATGACTTCAGAAGTCCTGTACTGCACTGGATGTGTGTCACACTGCTGACGGATAACCCAGAGGCCTGCGCGACTTCCTCTCATTTAAACAAAGCGTGGGCACATCTGAGGTAAACGTCAGCAGTGGACACACACACAGTGCAGGACAGAGCTCTCATCAACACACTGACACTGAAAAGTAAGATCTGAGGGGTTTGGAATGACATGAGGGAGTAATTAATAACTTTAACAGTCTTGTGAAATTTCTGGAAATGCTGCTGTTCTCCTCTTCGCTTCTTTAGTGTTTTCTAAAATGAAGAAAAACAACACAAAGTTATTTAAGCAGTGATATGAAGGGCTGTCAAAGAAGACTTGTGACTCTAAAAAGAGCAGAAGCTAAAAGAACAGGAATAGCATGAAGCAAAGAAAGACTGAAGATGTAGTTTTGTGCTCGGTGTGTTCCTCTACCTCCTCTTGTCTCACTGTTGCACAGGATTTGGGCTCGTTGGATTGAACCACCGGTGCTCTTCTAACTGATGTAACTGCAGTCGCTTCTCTGGATTGCGGACCAAACACTGGGAAATCAGGTCCAGGCAATCTGAAAAGTGACAAAGAGAGTGTGAAATATGTCTGCATACTCAAGATTCATGAACGTGTTTAAATCTCACTACATCAAATTACAAAACAAACGATTGTTCAGAAGAGTCTGCTTACCTAAAGATAAGGTGAGGTCTGTCTGGAGGTCTCCAACGATTATCGAATGCGTGTCGTAAAAGGCCAATCGTGTATGCAATATTTCATACAGGATGAGGCCTAATGTCCAGACGTACGCCGGGTTAGGAAAGAATGTGGGATCCCTCAGAACCTCAGGCGGTGTGTAAAGTAAGGCTCCTGTAAGAGAGACATTTTCAGAATTCAGTCATTTCATAAGACAATACTGTGACCAAAGAAACTCCCACAAAATGCCCACTCACCTCGATAATCACTGCTGTTGAAAGGCTCGCTGGTAATTAGCCGAGCACAACCAAAGTCAATCAGTTTGAGCTCTGATCGGGGTTGAGTCACCAGGATGTTCCCCGAGTGGATATCTCCATGGAAAACTCCACGCTCAGCGCAGAACTTGACAGCTTGGATCAACTGACGCATTAACCGGCATGCGTGGTTTTCATCAATGTCCAATGAACTTCTGAGATAATAAGCCAAAATCTGGGATGACTCGGCGTACTCCAGAAAGAGAACGAAGTCGTTCTTATTCTTAATCCAGTGGTGTAATGTGATGATGCTGGGACAAGGTGGGTCCTTCATCAACTTAAGCATGATTGCCACTTCTGCAAGCACAGGTTTGGAATGACCATCCTAGAAAAAAAAAAACAGATTTCAAAAATATTACCAAAGCAGAATGGCACAAAGTACAGAAACATTTTCACTTTTGTGTAAATTGTTCAACTTACAACGTCGAGATAACGGTCCTGTTTACGCTTCTTGATGTACTTCAGGGCAACCTGCGGAAAAACAACAACAAATGAAATTAAAGCCCACAAATGATTTATATTGAGTAATCAGGAGGAAAATGTTGACTGAATTTGAAAAATAGTTCTCTACCTTTGTTCTCTCATTAAATACGTGAGATCCCAGATACACCTTGCCATAACTTCCTTCTCCAATCAGGTCTTTCACTTCAAAAAGACCCACCCTAGATCCTGAAACACAGAAAAACAGCAGGGAGATTTACTTGCATTGTCTGGTGTGAAACGGATCAAATAAATGACTCGAATCCTTTAAATCTGGATCTAATGCAATGAGCTGAAAGCAGAAACTTCCATCAGAATTGCAGGAGTAAACTGATTACTAATTTATAATAATAAAAGGAAATGATCACTTACCAAGAGTGAGCCCAGAAGCCTCTTTAGGCTCCTCAAGAACTGACTCTGGCTCTGGCTCTGACTCTGACTCGGGCTCAGACTCAGACTCGGACTCGGGCTCAGACTCGGACTCGGGCTCAGACTCGGACTCGGACTCGGGCTCGGGCTCCAGCTCAGGCTCGGGCTCAGGCTCAGGGTCAGGCTCGGGCTCGGGCTCGGGCTGAGGTTGTGGTGTAAGATGCTGGACTACATCCGTGTCACAGCACAGGAAAGGGCGCGTTGCAGCCTTCCATACTCTCTTGAAGAAAGCAGAGACTCTTTTGCCTTTCCTTCCTTTCTTGGGTTTTTCTAAAATGAAGAAAACAAACAGAAACATCTCCATGAACAGAGCTGCAGCTACAGCGCTCAGCATATTCATATATGCAGTACACCCCATTTAGAAAATGAATGTTTTTATCCATTTCTCAGTGAATCTGGGTAATATATAGTGGTGCATTTGAACAAAACACATTTATCAAACAGATTTATTTATTACAATAATAATTTAGTCACAGAACATCTATAGAAATGGAAAGATAACACAATTAATATCATGCAAAATATTGCAAAATTTACAAACTACAAAATTTCAACAAAATTGTCAATATTTTTTGTTTCTCTTTGATTTTTGCTAATTTAAAAAAAAATAATTGAATATTTTCTCTGAACATATACATTTGGGCTACTCATTTTTGAACCATTATTTAGTTATTTTGTCAGATAAGCTCCAGATTTGGCTTCAGTTCTGACTAAACTAATGTACATGCACAAATATAATATTATAAAGCCTCCTATAGAAAATCTGAATTTAAATGAGAGATTAGTGGGGGGTGCACTCATATATGTTTGGCACTGTATTAATTAATACACAACCAACAGTACATCAAATGACACTGTCTGATTTATAAGCTAAAAACAACAAAGCATAAAAAATAACAGACGGCAGAAATAAAATGAACCACATTCAGGATGACTCACCATCAGTCCCATCAATATCAGAGGGGTCTTGAACAGACGGAGGCGACTCAGGACAGGCCGAATCTGCATCCGTCATGTTCTTAATATTGGAGAGGTCATGGACACTGATTGGCTGAGGATCTTCCCAGACCTGGCCTGGCAGACACACCAGCTCAGTATCAACATGACCTGTGAGGGCCGTCGAGGACTCTGGACGGGCCGGATCTGCATTCGGCACATCTGCTGTTTGCTCGATGCTGAAGGGGCCCGGAACACTCAACGGCTGAAGATCTTCACAGACCTGGCCTGGCTGCCACACCGGCTCAAGGTCTGCATGTGCTGCGACGGTCCTGGAGGGACCTGGAACAGGCAGATGCTGGAAATCGTCGACATCTGACCGTGGTTCAAAGGGAACCACTCTGTTCCGGTCACAGCAAAGGAAAGGGCGCTTCACAGCCTTCCATGCTCTCTTAAAGAAAGCAGAGGCTTTATTCCCTTTCCTCCTTTTCTCTGTGTTTTCTGAAATAAAGGAAATGAACAGGGAAATATTAGAAACCTCTTTAACCACAGGTTTAAAATAAACACACTGTTGTAAATGAGAAATATGAAAGACAATCACACAAAAGAAACAACAACAATAAATGTACAATTATAATAGAAAATTTTTGAAAACTAAAATTAATTATGTGGAATTGCAAATCATTTCTATGATGTAAAATGACAAACACAAGCTGACAAATAGTCGGTAAATCATAAGACCATATTAGACATCAGGAAAAAAGCTAAAAGCAACTATTTAGCAAAAATAATTTTCTGTTATATTATTATTAAGGAGAAAGTCAGAACGTGTAATTATAAAACCAACTTTACCTCAATTGTATTAATTCATCCCTGCTTGAACAAATAAAGACTTAAATATAATATTCTCACTCAGTTTGCTAAAATATAACAAATATTCCTCCACACCATCAAAAACTAAGAAAATGACTGTGCAGGTCTACACAAAGGATTTAAATTAAAGTAAAATTAAAATGATTTTTATCAGAAACATTAACAAGGCACAATTTCTGTTAAGTGGAAAGGAGAAACTTAAAAACCAGAATGTCATTACATATAAGAGCAGGGCTCTATCACAAAATCATACAAAACCATAACTACACACACAAAAAACACATTACAATGAAGAGACGTTGCATATTTGCTACACTAATAACCTTACATGGCAATATATTAATATTATTTTACTTTTAACTTCATAATTTACTGTATTATTAAATAATACGTGGGAATACAGCGTTTTTGTAAACTCTCATCTCACCTGTTGGGCTTCTCAACACGGTAGGAGGTGAAGGAGAAGCCATCGTGTCACTTCGATGATTTTTGTTGACAAACTCAGTCGTGATCGTATTAACTCGATTAAAAAACGCAGCTGACGTGTCATTTGCCATTTGAGATGCAAAACAAGTCGCTAAAGTCGTTAAATCAATGTTCACTGTACTCGTTCGTTTGTCACTCTGAGGAAAATCTGAATTCTGTCCAGTGACGTAACGGCAATCGAATTCGTTCTATTTATTCGTCATCGGTGGTGGGGGAGAGGGGGGGTTGGGTTGGCAGGCCGCGGGTTGATCCAAGATACCGGTCAAGTTCGTTGAGCGTGTTATAATATAAGTTCTGTCTGCAAATAAAAACCCAAACCATCGCAATCTGTTGTCTGAGAGACGAGGCGATTTTTTGCAGAGCATTTCTGTGCGAATCCTGAAGCTGTTCTTGAATTCCTGAGAGAAGACTAAACTTAATTATAAAAGAGCACAACTTCTTTAATCAGTTTTTATTTCAGTTGTTTTCAGATTATTTCATTAAACATTTGTTTTGTTGTACTTTTTACTTCGTTTTTTCCTTTTATTTATTTACTTACTTTTATTTATTTATTTTCTTGTATTTACATTTTTATTTATTTACTTTGTTTTAAATTGATTTTTATATTTTATCTGTATTTTCTTGTTTTATTGCAGGTTGGAGGAGATTGTCCATGTCCCACATGGGTGAAGAAAGAGGAGGTGAGTGTTTTTAATTTGTCATTAGTTTATCATTGGTATGTCACTGTTTAATGCTGTACGATGTTTGACTAATATGAAAAGATCACAGAAGTAACATGAAACAAAAAATATATATTTATTTGATTAAAAATTGATATTGATGTATGTTTATATCAAAACCCATTATAATGATGAAAAACTGCTGAGTTGCTCAATAAAAACTGCAAGTTCCAAGTGAAAAAAGTGACCAGTGAAAGTGTTTGTTGTGTGTGATTTATCTTTTAGCTTCAAACCACTCCAGACTCAGGGCCCTAGCATTTTAGAGAAATAAGCTGCAGGATAAAAAGTATATGTTTATATATATATATATATATATCAGTAACATCGCTCCCTACACGCAGAGTACGCAGGCTGCGTAGAGCCTCAACTCTGGAGGGGGGCACCATCTCGGTTGCTCAAATTTTTTTTATATTTATTTACTGATATCAACATAAACTGAGTTTACATCAAATATATATTGATAATAAGTTGTTAAATACGTTTAAAAAATTATTTTAAGACGGACACATTAACAAACATGTGACGTAATTTTTCCGAGCACGCGGCTATCCTTGCGGCTGCCAGCTGCATATAATTATAATAGATGCAAGTTGCAGGTTCATGCCCGGGAAAAGACAACAGCCGTCTGGAGCCGAGAAGAGGAAGAGAGTACTATATGAATCGCATGCATCACTTTCGGGTAACTTCCATGAATCTTGAAAACCTATTTTTGGTTATTCAACTATACTAGTGAGGCTAATGTTTAAACTTCGCCACAACTGCTATGCATTGTGCTTTAGACAGGACATGTTCTATGACTTTTCGCGTTTGCCCCTGATAATTACACAAACTCAATTATTGTTATTAACTTGTGCAATACAATTCTGCTTGCACACCAACTGTAAATACACATGCACTGCACAATTACTTCACTCTATGTATTATTTATTATTATAGTTATTATTATGTATATATTATATATATTGTATATTGTATATATGTTATATATTATTTCATTCTTTGCAGACTGCAATTATTATTGTTTAGTGTTTTATCTATTTCTTTACATTTCTTATTGTTGCTGTTGTTATTGCTTGTATCATTGCAATGACAATAAAGTCTCTTTAGTCTTTTTTGTACATTACAGTATGAAATAACAAAACTGAGTAATATTCTGTGATTTCTGAAAGATCAATAATATAAAATGAGTAAAATTACGGTAAATCACTGGCCAGAAACCATTTTTATTGCATGAATTCATTAATGATTATTTTTTCTGAATATTATAAAGTTTTTTGGTTTAAAATTACAGCAATTAATTCTTGAAAAACACAAATGTCTTTGATTTATACCGAAAGCAAGGGTCAGCTATTGTCAGCATAGATTACAGTGTAAATTAAATATTTTGGTTGTAGTTTGTAAACATTATGAAGAGTGCTTGACTAGCCCATTGTTTTAATGGTATGTCATGAGTTTTTCTTTAAATGACTAATTTCGTCTGTATTGTACATGGAGGTCAATGCTGCTGAAGTTTGCCACAAAAGAAGATGAGGTGGCCTGACCAGCACTGCTCCAAAGACACCAGCAGCTGCACAGGTACAAGTACAGGATGCAGCACTGAGGACCGTCCATCTCTACAGGTACAGACAGGGTTTATCCCTTATCTTTTGTAAATGTTTGAAATTGGGAATGCTTCTGCAGAAGACATGTCAGTATTTATTTTGATCTAAACTATTATTTTGTAATGCAAATATGTGAATGTTTAAGTATAACTTAAGTCTTTATATGCATATTTTTGTACATAAATAGATAATTACGTTTAAATCTTTGTGTGATTTTGTTCCTCTGTGGGGGCACCACAGTAAAATTTTGCATAGGGCACCCTTTTGGCCAGCAGCGGCCCTGATATATATATATATATATATATATATATATATATATATATATATATATATATATATATTTTTTTTTTTTTTTTCTCTTTACCATAGAAA